CTTTTAAGTCGGTGTTGTAACCAATCACTTGGGAATCTATTTAACAAAAATTGCGGCGTCCATCTTGGTGCCAAACACAATACGGCAGATAATGAGATTCTTTGTAATACCCGACATTGCCACTGTGACGTTGAATGTGCAATCGAGTTGTCCGGCAATTTCTCAGTATTGTCTAGCAATCTTTAATTCGCTCATTTGCCCGACTCTCCCCACCAAAAATAGATCATTTTAATGCAAATAACGGACACAGAAATCTGGATGAATTGTAATATCTTATCAAGGAAAACTTGTGAAGGAAAGCTTGCTTTTCTGTACGGAGCTTATAAATGCCTTCAAAATGTGTTTTTCCTTTTTTTTAACAGTTCATGCAATGACTATATGTATACTTTTAATATGAACATGAATATATTGATTAGCCATTTAGCAATCTTATAATCTGTGACGTATTAGTATGTGATTCTAACAGGCAACACCGTATTGTAATTATCGTCACGCTGTGATTGAATAGTTTTAACACACAAATATTACTCGAGGGATTAATTCTCAGCGGTTTGTGAGTGCATGTCGGTGATTAGAAATTCATTTGTGTGGAGATTAGTGCCGCAAGAGCAATCTTCATTGTCTTCAAAAGTTTGTTTTGAGATTGGAATTTCACAGCTCGGTAAATCTGAGAGTCAAAACCATTGAACTGTCCAGGCAAACAGCAAAAACATTCTGTTCAAGGAGCGGAGTCCGATTTAGTTTTGATGCGTTCAATTGCCTGGTAAGTGGTAACTACAGAATATCTGTGACCTTAAGGAGAGAAGTTTATACTGATGTAATTGAGCTAGTTTAATTAATTAAGGGAGAGAAATTTGAAGCACAACTTTATTCCAGGTATTTATAAAAGTAAATGGACAGGACATCTTTGATTTTGTAAGAGGAAGAACGTTTAAGTTAATTAAAGGTCGGGGATATATTAAATCGATTCAGTTTGTAGTCTGGATGTTGTTCATTTGTATGCTAACAGCAGGACATCCGGCATGACTTTATGAAGGCCATTTATACCACAGCACTACGGAACTTTTCCCTAAAACTGTCGCATGCAACCCGCTTACAACTTGAGTTACAGTGTGAATCAAGCATACAACTTACCTACGTTGTCGTTAGTGAGTTGTGTGCTTGATTTACACAGAACAACTCAAGTTGTAAGCTGGTTGCATGCGACAGTTTTAGGCAAAAGTTATGTAGTGTAAATCTGCCTTAATGAGAGCGGTCACTTTTAGAGAGTTTATAAGGAGAAAAAGTTTGAAGAGAGTTCTTGAGCTATAACTGAAGTGAGTGAAATTAAAGTGATCCAAGCAACGTCGCGATGTTCATTTTTCTGTTAACAACAGGATGCCTTTGTGTTGCCGATTCAATGCATATGCTTCTCTGAATATATGTCTGTTAAATGTTCATTAGCATTACCTTTAATGCTTTATTGATGCTTTTTTACTGCTATGCGTTTAACATATAGGCAGTATTAGGCTACATTAATAGCTTTCCTTAATTAACGACGTGAAAAAACACGTATCCGCATCTTTTAGGAACGCTATTTTCAGAGGAATTACTGCAACGGAGAGATGTTGTTTTTCTCAGCTGCTGAAAGTTGTACATTCTCTATCGGTAGATGCCGCTTTTCAGTCGCGCCGCTACGGATTGCCGTGGTTTGTGTCTGAACTATCTCAAACGTATAGTGGCCCGCCAGTGCGGTGTAGGTAGACGCAAACCTCAGCAGCTAATTTATTGTAGAATACTATATCAACACTTAGTTCCACGTTTGAGAAATCGTTACATGTAATTTCCACCCACACACAGAAGCAAGGAAAATCCGTAGAGCCCAAACTTGGCAAATTGTACAGTACATCTCTGAAACAACGTACATTTGACCATAATCGGATTGAAAACCTAATTTGAAATCAGTTTAATCAAAATTGCAGTTGCATGATTTGAAAAGCCTTCGTTCACACAAGAGCGTGCAAACCTACTCAAGTTTTACACTTTAAATTAAACAGTTTGCACAAAATGGAACCGCGGAGTAATTTGGGTACGGCCCACTGACGTACGAAGATAATCTGGGTGGGACCCTAAAATAACGTTATCACGAAACGTTACATGATATAATATTGAAAAGTTTAGTTATTGACAGAATGAATAAAGTTTAATGAAACATGCATAGGGGAGTAGCCGTGAATGAGTCGTATGCAGTGCCTGACTACCATTGTATGCAAAGAATTTTAAGAATCTCTAAAACATATAGACTATAGTTCTATATTTGATTGAAAACTTGTTTGATTCATGTGAGGTTAAGTTTAAAAAGCTCGGCAAGCCAAGTACACAAACATTGATCAAGTTAAGGCGTACACCGGTCTTTGTTGATTTAAAAATTGACGTTTTATAGAAAGCGAAATTTGAATGTAAAAGATTCATACGATTGTTTCTATAGTTACGCAAACATTTACTGAAAACATTTAAAAACAAAATGATGTATCCATTTTTTGACGATGTTTCCTTAAGGACAGATGTATGTACATAGGCTTGACGTTTTCCTTGTATTTTAAAGCCCTTGAATCGGTTTTATTTACAGTGAAGATTAGTTTATTTTCTTCAAAATGCTTCAGCATAAAAATCGATCACCAGACTATATTTTTTTTTTGCCTTAATGAAATCATGTCGGTGAACATGTAACTATATAGACTATAGTCTACACTTTATTAAAAAAATAAATATTGCCTAAGATTTCTATCAAGTCGGCGAAATCGCCCCAAATTGCATGCGTGGGAGTATTACGAGTCTGCAGTGATATTGTTTGGGGGTATGTCATGCACTATTCTATAAGCAAAGGGCCTGACCAGAGTTGTTATGAAATCGCGACCTTTGAAACTTGGGGACAACAAATCTTTCGATTTCTCAGGTATAATATTTTGTAGACGTAGTCTTTTAAACAGAAACTAATATAATAAAGTTTAAGCCCATTGCGTCTAATTTTGTCCATGTAAGTTGTTACAGGTCTGCAAACAAGTTGTTACAAATCTGTTCACAAGCTGTCGACAAGTTGTGTTCGCAACTGCTTGTTCCCAGTTGTTGTAACAAGTTTGGAACAAGCTGTCAACAACTAGTAACAAGCTTGATGGCATTATCAGACTTGTTACAAGGTTGTTCTAACAAGTCTGACACAGTCATGATATAACAAGAATGTTACAAGGTTGGCAGCACAAGGTTGTAACAATATTGTTATATCATGACTGTATTGGACTTGTTGGAACAACCTTGCAATGTTGCATGATAATGTTGTCTGATATAGTAATATGAACAAGGTTGTTACAAGTTAATTGTAACAGCTTGTTCCAAATTTGGGACTACTGCAGTGCGAACACCAACCTCGTACCTAGGCTCTGCGAACACATCTTGTTGACGACTTTTTGGCAGACTTATTACATGCAAGATTTGAGATTTTTGCGTCGGTGTAGTCTATCTTCTCAATGCTTGCTTCTTTGCATTACATTTTCAGCATTCATAAATATAGAAACTATAAATACTATTCGTATTAATATATGGGCATGATTAAAATGATATCTATTTTATCCAAGTAAAATCCGTGGAACAGTGTATGAGTCCCAAGGAAGACTTCTCGACAGCCACTATAGGCTAAACAGAAAAAGATGTACTTCTTGATGTAATCCCCTCGTCATGAGAGTTAGCAGGACCTTGATTATTAGTCCTCACAGGCTCGACGTTACTGGCGAAGGGCTATGAAGGGCCTGTGTATCTTTCAAGAAATAGAAAGAAATCTTCCACGAAGTTTTGATTGATTTGTTATATTCTGTGTTGTGGATACTCGCCTGAACATTGCGCCAGCAAGGCTCTTTAAAAAGTTTTAATCCGTTATTATAACCAGACGCAGTAAAATTATGTGTTCATTTATATGACTTGATAATATTTCCTATGTTTTGTATCCAAAATAAATAATCTCGTTGTTAGAGATTAGCGCGCTTGTTAATTACTTGTAGATTATTAAAAACCCATGATTAAATTTTTGCTCAATATTTTAGGAAATAAATCAGTTTCATTTACGTCATGGAATACGTGTAAATGACCTTTAACGCGCTGTTATTTATATCTATTATGGTTACTGACTGTGATATTTGTAATCATGTTCTATGGAAAGCGATACTGAAAATAATAATGAAACAAGTATATACATGAGGTAGATTGAAACTATATTTAAGCACCCTATATTCGGGTCAACCGAATCATTTCCACACGAGGGTCGTATGGGAAAGAAAAAGAGTAAAGGAGTTATAGTTATAGCAAAAAAAAAGTAGGGCAGATTCCACTATCTTATCGAAAAGTCGCCCACATAAAAGTAAACCGTTTGGGGGCGAGAGAGAATAAAACTAAGTCACGATTAAAATCTAGTTACTGCACAGTTTTTAATAACGTACTTTCGAGCGAATCTCCTTCGCAAAGAACTGAATTGTTCTGGGGTTTGATAAAGTTTAGTATTAAAGATACAAGCATGTGGAAGATCGATACTGGTAATGAAATGATATTGGTAATAAAGTGACTGATCCAGACTGCAAAAGTAAATTTAAAATTTTACTGAGAGAAAGGAGTAAATTTTCTCATAAATTGTTCTCAAAATTTTAATTTTACACTTCAGTTTGGCCGTTAAATTTCCCTTTCTCGCATGGTTTTTAACATGCACTATTTCAATCCATTTAGTTGAAATGTTCCACAACAACGGTTTTGATGGTGACCCGAAGAAGAATGGCAAGATCACGTCGAGTGAACCAGTAGAAAAAACTGCAGCCAACAGTTTCAGGAAACTACTGAAGAATTTCGCCTCTGATACAAGTTTTGGTGGAATTTCAAAGGCGACTCTCTCCGATGGACATATCCGACGTTTCATCTGGTTTCTGATTTCTGCGACTTGTTATGGCTTTACCATTTACATGTGTTATTTGTTGATCAAGACGTATTTGGAAAAACCCATCAAAACATCCGTGGATATTTCCTACGAAAAGGTTAGTCTATTACTTCATTTTCAGTACATTCTTCCTCTAGTTTGAACTTGGAAACTGTTCTCCCTGGAGGTTCAGTAAGGATCATCTATTATTGATCCAGTGTTACTGCAGATGGAAACCTAAACTAAACTAACTTTATTTATACTGGATAGCTCTATCAGTTCTAAACTCTTCTTCCTAGAGGTCCAGTAAGGGTCATCTCTTATTGATGTAGTGTTACTGCAGGAGGAAACCTAAACTAAACTAACTTTATTTATACTGGATAGCTCTATCAGTTCTAAACTCTTCTTCCTAGAGGTCCAGTAAGGGTCATCTCTTATTGATGTAGTGTTACTGCAGGAGGAAACCTAAACTAAACTAACTTTATTTATACTGGATAGCTCTATCAGTTCTAAACTCTTCTTCCTAGAGGTCCAGTAAGGGTCATCTCTTATTGATGTAGTGTTACTGCAGGAGGAAACCTAAACTAAACTAACTTTATTTATACTGGATAGCTCTATCAGTTCTAAACTCTTCTTCCTAGAGGTCCAGTAAGGGTCATCTCTTATTGATGTAGTGTTACTGCAGGAGGAAACCTAAACTAAACTAACTTTATTTATACTGGATAGCTCTATCAGTTCTAAACTCTTCTTCCTAGAGGTCCAGTAAGGGTCATCTCTTATTGATGTAGTGTTACTGCAGGAGGAAACCTAAACTAAACTAACTTTATTTATACTGGATAGCTCTATCAGTTCTAAACTCTTCTTCCTAGAGGTCCAGTAAGGGTCATCTCTTATTGATGTAGTGTTACTGCAGGAGGAAACCTAAACTAAACTAACTT